AGCACTGAAAAAGTCTTGTTCATTGCATCCTATGCTTACCCCATGGTTGAACGCAGTTCTTGTATCGGGCCTTAACACAAGAAGGACGGGGATTTGAAAAGACCAAAAGCATTTTTATATGCGACGAGAAAAGTAGAGGCCTTCATAAATCGCATCGTGAATCATCTAGGATCCTGCGATCAGTAGTACCACTCTATTCATGTCTGAACGTGTTCAAGAACCGTTGGGACAGTCGAATGTTTTTGGTTGCAGTGTTGCCAGTTAAACACAGTTGAACGTCCGATAGCGTAATGAAATGGTTTGTTAGCCAAGATCACAGTTTGGTTCATATCTTGTACCGGTTGCACAGGCTGTGAAAAGTATGGTTATTTAACAACGCTGTATTAAGTGCGGAAGTAAATGCTTGCTACGTTTTGTTGGAAAGGCTGAAGGGGAGAGAGACCACTGGGAAGATCTTGATCTAGATGGATGATTTTGAAATTGATCTTGTGGAAAAATGTGTTGGAGAGAGTGTACTGTATTGGTCTGTAACAGTATCAATACATGAACACGTTTGTCAGAAGTGCAACGTAGCATATCAAAGAATGTATTTGTGAACTTATTACATTTTGGGGTGTGGGGTAAATAAATCATTTGTTACGTTTGTTTTCGGATTTATCTGAGAGAATTTTACAAGGCATTGAACACCACCGTTGGAGTGTGACGCGGTCAGCATTGCCAGAGAAGCGCCCGCGGTTGTAATGTCTGCCCGGAAGTCGTCTCAGTCAGACAAGGGGAGAATTCCAGGAAACACAGTAGATAGAAGAACAGACTGCAGTCGTAGCCCCCCAGAAATAGCTGCAGGTTCAGAGGCGTCCAGAATAAGCTTTATTGTTTGCATTTATGTCGTTTCTTTTGGAGGGGTTTCAGGCAGTATGCTGGGGCAGTTCGGGGGCCATGCGTCTAGAAACCAGTGTCGCACACGCAAGACGAGAGGACAAACCTGAAGGTTGACTGTTATTTGCTATTCACTTTTGCGGATCTGTTCCTTCTAAAATGCTCGACACAAGATGGCGGCTGAGTTTTGGACGATACTTCCCATCGGCTGTCACGTGTCCTCGTCAGCGAATCAACTTTTCTCACTCAGTGTGCGCTCGCGTTTGTGTAAAAGTGAATATCGTGTTTACGTATGGCAGATTATCGGTAGTCAGCTTTAGATTAAAAAACGGTGTATTAAAACATAAATGGTGCATGAAGAAGGAGAGAGTAAGCTTATCCGAAACGTTGGCATCCACTGACCAGTCCCAAAAGAAGCGTGATTTTCATAAAAACTTGCTTTCGAACGCAATGCCAATGGACGCCATCCCACTTTCGTTCTTCTTAATACAAGTCCTGCCGTTGGTGACAGCTCATTATATTTCTTTAGGTGGGAGTAATATTAATGCTTCAGATTCAGGGCATTCGATTTTGATTTGTGATTAATTCTCCAGAAGTAATCGCCAAGTTAGTTTGTTAACACAGTATTTGTGTAGACTGTGAAGTAAATTTGCTGTAAGTTTGCTGTTTGGTGTTGGTAATTGCTGAGCTATCGTGGTGGTTCGACAGGTAGATCATTAGCGCAAATAAAAAAATGTGCTCTTAATGGCGGTGCGAAAATCTGAGGTGATAGGTCATGACATCGTCCGGATGCTGTAGACTAAATTGATTTCAGAAATTCATCAGCGAGAATTATGAATGACTAGAGCAGTGGTATTCAACATTTTTTGTTCGCGTACCCCCAGATATAATTTCTCTTCAACTTTGTACCCCCAAAGTTGTTGGTGTATAATTCAAGTTATACATAGTATATAATCTACATCTGAAATAAATTAAATAAATTACATTACTGATTATTCAGTGTTTATCATAAAATAATATTATTATTTTAAATTTCACGTACCCACTAAGATGTCCTCGCGTACCCCAGGTTGAATACCACTGGACTAGAGTATCGTCTTTGCCCATTTTTTATTTAAATAAATGCATCGAAATGTTTTGCTTATTTATTACTCAAATCATACTTTTTCAGGAAAGTTGGTTTTTTTATAGATATGATGAAACTACTTGGCACGTGAGCGAGCGTTACGAGCGGCTCGTAACTGTCGCGGTGGAAGTTATGGCCACGCCTTGCTGAAAACATTTATCTCAGCAGATCAAGTCCAGTAGTCTAGTACGTAGTGTGAGTTACTTGAACGTCCTGTGTTTTAAGAGTTCGTTTTGTGGACAAAGAATAGTATATTTCTATTAAAGTAATGTATCTCTTAAGGTCAAATGCGTTTTGAATGAACTGTATATCTTTGGTAATATTAATAATAAAAGTGGAAATAGTAACTGGGTACTTACATCTCTTCACTGACAAAAGAGACTTCGTTACTAAAATTTTAATTAAATTCGGTTCTGTAAGGGAAAGGATGTGATATTAATCTTTTTTGTTATGTGCAGCTGTGGCCTATCTTAGTGATGCGTTTTTGTGAATTGACAAATAAGGAGATCGCTGTAGCACGTGAATACAGATCGGTGAAACAGCAGTAGATTAGATAGTTTAATGTATTGTATTTAGCATTTATGGCATCCTGGCATCCCCCTTGGGGAGACAGGAGAATTTTATGTTATGAAATTAATATATTGTAATTTCGGCTGTCGTCTCCTTAGAGATGAAAGACTTAAACGAATGCATACGACGACCTCTGCCCCTCTCGACAGTAGCCCGCATTCAAGTTTTCAGAGGGTAGGGTGCGTACAGTCCAGGCTATTACTGTTTAAACTTCGTTCCAACAGCTTATTATTTTATTTAGTGTTCTGTCTGACGACATGTCCATATGAACAGGATCCTTCCATCCTTTTCTCGGACTGGGACCTGTTCATATACGTTCTTGGCAGATGATCCAGAAGTGGTTTGCCATTGCCTTCTTCTGTGTGTGAATGCAGTAATTGTTGGGATGCCACGGAGAAAAACTCCGTGTTGCCTAGACCACGGCCTCGCCCAACACAAGTTATCAACAGCTTATAGTCGATAATGTTAGTACATCTATACGGTTTGTTGTAGCTTTCAAGGCACAAATGACGAGTCCTGTTTTGGTACTGTACATACAGCACGGAACTGAGCCTGGTTTCCACTTCCCCTTAATGCTAATGGCCTCTATCCCCCGGCATAGGTAGACTGGGCGTGGTATATGCGTTGTGTGAAGTTATTCCTGGAATTTGAAGTTTATTCCAGTAATATGCTTGCTCTTTGTGATTCCAGTTATCCTCTATCCATATTTCAGCACGTTCTTACCTCTCTCGTTTGCCATTCATGAAAAACGGTAATTACATAAAGGCACGTTCACATTTTAACGTGAAGTAGTGTTTATTATTTTCAAAATATTCTGCCAAGGTGTTTGACATAAGACGTCTTCTTGATTTACATCACTGCCTATGGCTACAGACGTTCATTTTGACGATGGCAACCGTAGTGATTGCCGAAACGCTGTGAAACTTGGGGTTTTCCCCGAAGGCCGAAGATGGTACTTCGTTAGTACGTACCTTTTTTTTTTTTTTTGAATGACAGTAGTTGGTGACAAATATAACTCAAGACCTCGTTCTTATAGAATACGAGACTGACGTAGTCAGAAAATTTGCCTGTGTTCGTTGGTGTCAGTCCCGACTTTTTATCTCAGGCAGATTGCATGAGCTTGATAAAGAAGTGTGATCAGGTACAGCTGTGACGCTCCCAAATCATACGCGAAGTAGAGTAATCGGGGCGAATCTTTGAGTTCGACGCCCGTTAGACGTAAACGGCAAGGAGTGGGAGGAGTAGAAATAAGGTCCATTAAAAAACATTTCCCAGCGGAAGCATTTTGTAGCGCTCTGCCTCAGTTCCTTTGTAGGTGATGTCTTTGGTTTGCGTAGTATATGGGTTGTTTTTTTTTGCTTGTGACGTAGGCGAAACGTACACTTTACTCCCGTCGACTGCATCCGTCCGACAGCGATATGGTGCCTTTACAGTCGTCCTTGCCTTGTGTTGGGACTTTCTCTCGCAATTGAGTCAACGGCAGAAGTCTGGCCGAAGAGGGCGTACTTAGTTCTATCAAGAGAGAAATGTTTCGTCTTTGGATGGAATTTACATCTGTGTTTCTTTGAATAGTGGTTTGTTACAAGGTGATATGCAACATTTACGTGTCGTGTTGTTCACAGTGTTTTTTTTTTTGGTGGCATTTAAACAATAACGGAAATTACTGTAACATCGGTTGTAATATTCGCCTGCCAGAGTGTATGTAAAATTAGTTTCCTTTCATAACGTAATAACTTGATGTTTCATCAAGCTGTCGAGCATTTGCTGGTCAAAGGTAATTGTTTTATGTGGCTTTGAACATTGAAGGGTTTTTATTTGAGGCACTGTTTCGTGTTTCAAAGCTCCAGAAATTGAAATTTATGCAGTGAACCAGTGGAATTTGCGTAGTAGTTTTAAAGAAAGCCACTGTACTTATGGAAACTGCTAACTCAGAAGCAGGGAAATCATGTACGATTTCCATTAACTAACTAATACGTTGTACGTAGTCAGATCGAGAAAGTAACTTTGTGATGTTTTATCTTCACTACAAGCAAGCCACAGAACTTATGAAATTGGGTGTGAATGTTATAATTAGGCAGTGATACGTAGTTTAACCACCAGGTTGTCTTGGGCTCGTGCGTAGATGGTCTTCGTGTCGAATCCTACTTGAGTCAGATTTTTTTTGTTTGGAGTTGTAAATGTGAAACGTTGTTAACATTGCACCGTTAGGATCACCTGCGAATTGTCTTTTTGTATAAGGCTGGTTAGACAATGCACTGACAGAGACAATGCAGGGGAACTACGGTGCTTCAGACCTGGCATTGTAAGTGATCAGATAAATACGCAACGCTGTAGAAACGTAGTTAATAATTGGCTTGAAATTTGCCCCCCCCCAAAAAATCCGAAACAAGAGTATTATTATTATTATTATTATTATTATTGCGCATGGCTTCTCACAAGTTGCAACTTGTTTGAATTGTATGTCTCTTGCACGTATTGTGTGTGGACGGCCCTGGTTTGAGGATGCCATTTCCGCAGGCGAAAATCGTGTTTGTTGACGAACACCTGACGTCTCACATTATTACACAGAAGTGTACTAAAGCACGTCGTGTGCGGACTGAAGGTCTCTCTCACAAAAGAGAAAACGTATACGCCACCAAAATACATTTTACCAGTTATTGCGTAACAAACCGAACATGTTTCAACCAATTAGGTCATCGTCAGGATTTTTATTGAACACGAGTTTACGTTATAAATAAGTGTTAAAAAATTCCTATGTCCAGTAAAAAAATCTATGAAGATGACTGAAGACTGGTCGAAACATGTCGGGTTGATAAGAGATATATGAAAAGTTTATTCTCGATCGTTATTAGTGCATGTAATGGGACGCAGTTTATGATTCACTGTGTGTTATGAGTGATCACATTCTCAGGTGGTAGAATATTCTATTTCGCAAGTGCTGCAACTATTAGTCAACTTTCGGAACGCCTCTGCGGAAGATAATGGTATGAACTGTCGAATGAAAGGAAGACAGAGATAACGGATGAATATACAAAGGTAATCATTCCCCCCATGGAATTTCAGCGGACCTTTGCACTTGTCTGTGATAATTGAACTACATTGTTTCTAATATACACAAGGAAATCACTTTGATGTGGTTTTGAAAGTTCAAGGTTAGGTTAGCCGTTCTGGGCATCGTTCATTTCACAGACGAGACTTGATTCCCGATGGATGTGGTAATGGTTAAAATTGTTACCGTTACATTCGTTTAAAGTTTGAGCAGGTCCTAAGGTGTGGACTTGGGGGCCGGCGTCTCTTCTTTAAAATTGGGTTGTGTGACTTATAGATCACCATTTGCTTTCAATACGGTCAACTGATTGATCCTTCATCACCCCTATATGTCCACTGCACGTGTTGTGACTGAAGAAAAATATCACGTCTGCTGTTACGACTGATTTCCCGGAAGAACGGAGAAAATTTCTTACCCCCCCCCCAAAAAAAAAAAAAATAAAAAAAATCTTGCTCCAGGGCTGGGAATGGCGAGATTTATGGTCGTTAATTTCGTATTATGGCGGAACAAAATTCATTAAGGGTAGCCAGTATTCATTCAACCTCATACGCAACTCGGGATTTGTGTAAGACGGGCTAATAAATAGTCGATGATCTCTCGTTAATTACAGGGACTACGTGAATTTTCACATCTCCTTGCACTCAGACAGTGACTCTGTAATAACTGGGTAATGAGTTCAACTAATTACTGAACGCAGGGAAATGGAACTTTGCATTTATTTCGAAACTCGATGTTTTTCTCGCTTCCGGTGCATGCTGGACCCGTCTAAACCTGGCATATTCTTCTTCTGCTTCATGAATTTAGTCTTGAGACCCGTTGCATCCACCCGCTATCTCATTCTAGGTCACCCCACATTTCTCTTTCCTCCGAACGTCGTGACGATGCACTCCTTTGTATTATTAAGGTCCGGGGTTTAAATCTCGACACAGAGACCGGCTATCCCGTGTTATAGTGGTTTTATCAGTCCCTCTATCAAATTTCGGATTAGTACTTTTAAATAATCCACGACCGTTTTGTTCTATATCCTTTCCAGTTGGTTATTTATTAATCACCCTATAATACGACGTTCTGTTGTCTGACAGCGTCGTTAAATACACCATAAACAAATACACGCTAAAACATCCATCAGGTTTGTAGAGTAACATATTTTTCTGGTTGTCATTCGACGTTTATTTGTAATATTCTAATTTTTATTTTAGAATGAAAATGGTTTATTCTTTCTTTGTATCTGCTTTTCCAGATACTGAACGTAAAAAGGGCATTTCTGCGGTTTTCAGTTTAAATTTTGCATGAGTTAATGCCCTTATTTCTGAGCCGTGCTTCAGTACCGAGATGATAATTTTGTAGAATGTTTTATGCAACACGTAAACAAGTCATGTTTTGTGACAAGACTTTGTCTTATATAACGCTTGTTTACGAACTCCACAAAAATGATCAGCACATTTTTGGACAAACCTGTCTTTCAGATGGTACAATCGGCTTCGTTATTATGTGATTAGAGCGTTGCACGTGCCATTTTAGTAACAACCGCAATTATAAATTCAAGCTGAAATTATTCTTGCCTCTGACCTTGGCTTGTGACAGTCTGGCAGCGCCATTGTATAAGACGCAGTTTTAAAAACGAATGTAAGGGCTTGAAATTGTGCAGTAGAATTTTATATATTTTTGTGTTTACACGGAATAATTTGTCATGCAATCTTTGTTATCCATCCGGAATCGAAATTAGTCCTCCGCGATTTGACAGTAGTGACGAAAATCCATTTAAAAGCATGGAAAAGTCTTCTAACAAGTCCATTCGTCCTGACTTCTTAAGAGGGCACTTACACCTCTGAATTTGGTCTAAAATGATTTTGTTCTTCCTGAGGGAGACCTAAATTCGTTTGGTCACACCAGCAAGAGTTTAAGCAAGCAGCCATGGTCGTCGCTGCTTTGTCGAATTCCACTTGAAATATAAATTAGCTTGGATTAAACTGTACATTTCACCTACGTCCCTATTTTCCGGGTAGAAGTAAAACAGACACTTACGAAGTTTTGTTCAAAGGCATTACCGACGTACGAACTAATAACAGCGACGTCTAACTGACGTCGAACACAAACATTCGCCCCGATTACTGTATGTAATGCTTCGATCATGAAAAATGTCATACAGCGTACTCTTTTTTTAACTGTTGCAAACGTTCGCCCGGTATAGGTCAGAAATATGGACGGTAAAGCCGTAGAATGACACATTAGGCCTGTTAACTGCAGTTGAAGCTGATTTTTCTCCACAGGACATCCATTAACACAGTTCTGACTCGTTGTTCATGTTTGGTGAATTTTTAGATCAGTGATTGATTATCGGTAAATATTTAAAAATCTGACTGTGAAGTTCATGTCCGGGAATCAGTTCACTCTGAACTGTGAAGTGACGACGAAGGAAGTGATCGTTTCTCGTCCTCTGGCTTGGAAGTTTAAAGAACTGTGTCGTGTGATGAGTGATTGACAGACATGTTGACCCAGTTGGAGAGCATGTGCGCTGGCTTACGCATCCGGAAGAAGAAATCTCAGCAACACCAGCAGAAACGTCGCTGGCGTTACGGCAACACTTTAAGGAAGTCAGGTAAGATGAGAATGGGCGACCGGAAGCTAGAACGCCGATGAAGAGAACGCGGTATTTTGCGTTAAAGTTGTCCCATGAATATCACTGCCATCTAGGATACAACGCCGTGTAGTCTGATAGATATTGACCGACGTTTCAAAGGAGCTTACTGCCTCCGTCGTCAAGATGATCACCCTGTAGATAGGGGCAGTATTTTCCACTGAAATGATACAAGCCCACACGGACAGGAAAGTATATATATATATATATATATATATAGATAATGGGGTTATTTTCATACTGTAAACTTTAAACTTTGTTACATAAGTTAATGACTTCGATTTAGCTGAGTTCTCGTCCGTCAAATCACTTACTTTCCTATTTACCGTAGTCCTCCCCTTTTCTCTTGAAACCGTTCGATAGGTCGGGGGGTTGGTTTGTTAATGCCAGATACAGGGCGTTCCCTGATAAAGTTAAACGCGACTGTCACTTCTCGGCTCCCGGCAGGAATTGTCGTGAAAAGGCCGTTTATTTTTATGGAGCGTTACGCGACTCGTGTTGGGGAAAACCTTGTTGCGCTCGGCGGGCGAGTCGTGCAGTTCCAACCGGGAACCTGTAAGTGACATTTGCGTTTAACTTTGTCAGTGAACGCACTCTGCTTGTTTTGAAATTGTTCAACGGTGTCTTCTGCATCTTTTCACCATTGGTTGCACAGTCGGTTAATTCGTCAAATTACGTGTTTTAGTTCGTTGAGAGAAAATTTATTACCCGCAGATTTAAAGGAAACTATAACAGATATGTGTTCTGTGCGCGCCTTCTTTCAGTCTGGAGTTTGTCCATCACGGTTAATACAGATGATGCACGTGGAAAGTTTATTATTCAATTGAGTACATCCGGCCTGTTTTATGTGGTTGTGAAGCTACGTCGAACGAAGAGAGGTTACGACGGGAGTTATTATGAGTGTTTGAGGACGAACTGTTTGAGCTGAGTATTTGGATCAAACAGGGAACAAAGGGGCAGATGGAGGAAATTACACCAGCTCTAATGAGATTCGTATAGCAGATGTAGGCATCTCTTTCTTGAGAAGTTGTTACTCAGTCAGCTGGTCGAGAAGTCCTCCGTCTTTTGTGCAATCCAAAAACCCTTTACCCATTATTGAGCCAGTTGAATCCAGGTTAGATTTAAGTTTTTCATGGTGGCGAGTGTGAAATGAAGATTAATGTCTTGTGGATGTTGTGACGTTAAGTGTGCTAGAGATTTACCGGCGTGTTAGAGGTGGTTATTGTCCCTATCGTCAGGGCGATGATGAAGGAAGTAAGCTTTTCTGAAACCCCGACGTCTCATTTTGAACGTCGCATCATCCCAGAAGATTGTAATCTGTAGTCGAATGCAGTCAACACCCAGACATATCTACATTAATATTATCTCCCCATTTATGATGTCACGTGCAAGTTGAAGAAGGTTCAGCCCATAATTATTAATTAGTTCGGCTGTATTTGTGTTTTGCATGGAACACGTAGAGATGAAAATTCACGATTTCTTGCGTCAATGTGGCGTTTTGTCCACTGCAACAGGGAGGAGCTGCTCCGAAAGACAAGAATAATGACCAGTTTCAGTTAAATTTCGAAACCATTGCACGTTCTTAAATGGCTGATTCGTGATCTCTCGCGTGTAATCGCCAATTTCGCTTGGTTTCAGTTGTTACCGGCACACTCCATTTGATTTACGAGAAAGACGGTGGATAGTAAGAATTTGAGGATGAAAAGGAGAATGGCGCAAATTCATACAGGAAGGAGACTGTTACTTTGAATTTTTAGTTCTGTGCTCAGCCGCCGAGCCCTATGGCTTTTTGTAAGCTGTTTCTTTTCCATTTGTGTGAGAAATCGCTTCAAGTTGATCTCTGTGAATTCTGTGAATGGTTAAAAGATGGCGTATCTGTTTGGTTCTCGTCCAACGTTGTTAAGAAGGGATCTCTGACATACGCGTGTCGAATTGACAACGCTGGCACGAGGGCGGAGCGCCTATTGCATTTCCCCGTGGATCAATGCTTTGCGCGCCGCGCCAACCGCTGTGGTGGAGGGTAGTGGACCGTCGTCTAGAAGGGGTCTTACCCTTCCCTTCACTGCCATCGGGTTTTTTTTTTCATTCCGTGCTTTATGTTGAATTGCTACATCCTCGAGAGAGACGAACCAGTCTATAACTTTGGTTCCGAAGGTCACGGTTTGAATCTGGCCACTTTGACGGCTATCCTAGCACGACGTACAGTGTCGGATGTAATAGCCCCATCCAAAACCTTACCTTTTTAACCATTCGTGATCATGTCCCATATCTTATGACGATGTAATATCTTTGTAGTTGCAACACTGTCGTTTCGTAATCAGAATGTAATAAAGAGTTTAAGCTGCTATGTCAGTTTTCCTTACGCTGTCTGAAGGTGATCGTTGCCTTCTCTTCATTCACATCATCGTAGCAAATGCAAAGTCAGCCTGGCAATTAGTTTCAGTAATACGTTTTTGAAATAAAACACTATTCTGTCTTATCACATCATGATTCAATTTTTAAATTTGAAACACCGATATTTTTAATGAACTGCTTAGTCACTATTTCTGAGGAAGAGATTTTTGCTACAAAAAACAAGCTCACCAGTTACTTGAACAAGTATTAATAAAAAAGAGAAGTGGTGTACAAGGAAACACGACCATGTGCCTGTAATGGAAGCTTTCACAAAGATGCACAGCAAATGTTTTTGCTAAATTGTTGCTTAAGCCCAGTATTTTCTGTCGCCCCGCAGAGGCACTGTTGCAGAGCCGCCCTTTGCCGCACATCCCGGACCTGCCCGACAGCGATCCCCCAGGGAGTCTTCAGGGGGGTGGGGGTGGCGTGGTGCAAGGGGGTGCCACCCTGGGATCTGGCAGCCAGTCTGGTACAGGGGGCTCTGGTTCTGGCACAACGGCGCCAGGGACCCCTCTGCCTTTGGACACAGCTAACCGATGGACCTCGAAGGAGAACCTGCTGGCACAGGAAGAGGACGATCCCCAGCTGTTTGTGGCACTGTATGATTTCCAGGCTGGCGGTGAGAATCAGCTCAGCCTCAAGAAAGGTGCGTTCGTCAGAGGATAAGAAAGTTGTTTGGCTTTCCACACGACAGTTCTGGATGAACTCTTCAGAACAGGGAAATACTGATTATGCAACTTTAAGGGTGTTGTAATGACCAGCTGTCCAGATAAATTGTGCTGTACGAGAGCTAAATGGTTCTTGTGTGCATGCAGCCAGTCATCTGTCCCTTCCCCACCCTCCTAACCCTCAAATAATATTCTTATGACTGGAGCTCTGAAACGTAAAAATATGTCCGTGTGCATCAGCCCAGTGCTGTTAAGGCAGAAGTGGGGTGTGGAAGTAAGGTTCCACGCACTCATAGTTTGGCACTGTGTGAAAATTATTAGCTCCATGCACTCGCTTGACCCCCATTGGGAAGATCTTCAGGACCTACTGAATAGGATGTGGATGGGCTTTGGAGTCATTATGATGGAAACAGTTCATTGTTTCTGCCAGGTATTGAATCCCATCATCCAGCCCACAGCCAGTGAGACACAATATAAATACTAGAAATATACAAATGTATGAATTAAAATGTAAGAAATACAGAACATATTCACACAGTTAACATGAATGTGTATATGGACATCTTATTACCACAGACTTGGAAGAAGCCAGAAAAGAAGAGGTGATGGAAGCATAAAGGAACATTATGAGGTGTAGATCAATGAAAGGACCGCATAAAATATCCAGAGACGCGTACAGAAAGAGTAGAGTTTGAGTAATTAATGTAAGATGGGCTGTTTTAAAACTTTAGTACTGTGTTGATATTAACATCGTGAAATTGCCTTGTGCCAAAATACGCACTGCACCTGATGGCACTGTTTCTGTGTTGCAGTTCTTATACTAGTGTTGTTACTCATCGACTGCGTACAATTGGTGCGTACGTTCCGGAGATAGCATAACAGTAAACAACTTATTGTTTCAGGCAGAATGTGGTATGCTGGAAATAATAGTAGGGTTTTGAGTTCTGCTTCAATTCCATTAACATACACATTTTTATGCATAGTTTCATGTCCATATGTTACATGTTGGTAGTTACTTAACAGTAGATGTCTTACAGTGTGCAACATCTCCTCTACTTATTGAGTCCTTATATTTGTTGTTTGTTCATTGTTTTGTAATGAAATGCAATAGTAACGGAACTCAAAGTTTGCCAGCAGCGTCACAAATTACCTTTCGCTGTTATCATAATGGATTTTACAAACCAAAATGTTGACTGGTTTTCTCTCTGCACATCAAAATCAGTACCAAGATTGGATATATTGATATAATATGGATGTCAGTATTCAGTGCGTGTTTAAACAACTTTTACATCAGTTCTGCAGAACTGATGTAAAAGTTAGCAAGCTCATGCCTGTGGAATAATTTTGATTGGCCAACGGCAAGTTTAGGAAATATAATTCTCTGAAACTGAACAGACATTACTCCATACAGTTGCTGCTTTGTTATGTATGTTACTGTAGTAATATGTCATGGTAACTCAAATGTACTGGTCTTGTGTACCACCAGTTCAAATCCTGAAACCATTGCTGTGGCGATAAAGAAGAGACATGAAAGGGAATGGAAGAAATCGATTTTACGGGCAGTGCTATCAGTGTTTTAAGTATTAAATAGAGACTTATGTGCCTCCCTGTGTGTAAGAAAGTAAGTTTATTTAAGGTAGGTTTAATATTTTGTATGTTTGTTATATTTGCAGGAGAGCAGGTGCGCATCCTGAGTTACAACAAGAGTGGCGAGTGGTGTGAAGCACATTCTGCTTCAGGCCAAGTGGGCTGGGTCCCATCCAACTATGTGACTCCGGTTAACTCTTTAGAGAAGCACTCTTGGTACCATGGCCCTATCTCTCGCAATGCTGCCGAATACTTACTCAGCTCTGGCATCAACGGCAGCTTTCTGGTGCGAGAGTCGGAGAGCAGCCCCGGTCAGCGCAGCATTTCCCTACGTTACGAAGGTCGCGTCTACCATTATCGAATAAACGAAGATGCCGAAGGAAAAGTAAGCACATTAGCAAAGTTGGCATGTTTTTTTATTGGCTAGAAGTTGATATCAGCATTAAATTTTTTTGGGAGACATGGTATGGTGACTAATTATTGGCATAAGTGCAACTGTCTCAATAGTATTTTTGGGAACAATCAGGCAAATGTAGCAGGTAGTAGCGTTTATAATACGGATATTCATTAATGATTTTTGCATTTCTCTGCACTTTCATTATTGCTTGGAGGACAGCAGGTTATATTTAGCTTTCTTTAAAGCTAAGGGTGTGAATAATTTTGTTTAATGGGAATGTGGCTAGGATAAGGGAGTCAAGGAATGCGTGCGTGCGTAAGTTTTTAAGATACCTCTTCACCATCTTGGAAACCTCAAATCCTAAAAACTTTCTTGATCTCATCTGTTTACCTGTTCATAATAGAAAGGAATGAAGTTTCATGTCCCTTTTGTGTCCTTCCCTGTCCAGATAAATATTCCCAAACTTCCACATGTTCAGAACAAATTCTTTATTATGCATGTTTTACTAATTCATGTTATATAAATGGTGAAGCGATAAAGTAATATCTGTATTATGAAATTGTTTGCTATTAACAATGTTTGGTTGCTGATGATTTTATAGAGACTGTCTCATAAAAATGAAGACAGAGACTTGAAGTTTGTCATTCTGATTTGTTGTAGGTATATGTGACGACTGAAAGTAAATTCAATACTCTGGCAGAGCTAGTTCATCACCATTCAATGCATTCAGATGGTCTAATCACCCAGCTTCTGTACCCAGCACCAAAACACAACAAACCAACTGTATTCGCTCTGAGTCCAGGTGGGTTCCTATTATCATCATCTGCCGACTTCACTGCGTGTGTTTCATTCTTCATATACGTGACCTGAATGTTTGGTTTAAAAGACCTGTTGAAACACTGGATTTATCTTCATGAATTTTTAACCGTTACCATGCCATAAACAAGGTATCTCAAATATGAACATTGGTCTCTTCTGCCTTGTTTTTTAGTATTGCTGGAAAAGAAGTCACTTCTCGTATCCTTTGACAGATGAAGCTATTTGTGGCCTTTCTACACTAAGTGGTGGCAGCCTACCAAACAAAACATTTGTTATTGCAAAGCTCAGCTGAATAAGGTTAAATATATTTCAGCTAAATACCAACAGTACAGAAAGATTTGATACAGGTATAACAGGGACGCTTACAGATAACAGGTGGACGTTGCATTATATTACAGAACCAGATGAATGGGAAATCAACCGCACTGACATTGTGATGAGGCATAAGCTGGGAGGCGGTCAGTACGGTGATGTATATGAGGCTGTTTGGAAACGCTACAATGTGACGGTAGCAGTGAAGACCCTAAAGGTTAGTGCTTTTACTAACTTAGGATTCTGGGTCTTGTATTAATGAAAAGCATTTCATATGCAATTTTCTGAGTTAAGAAACGTATTCTCCTACCCATTATCAGCATAGACGAGAAGGTGATGGGTTTGATTAGTATTAACTTTTTTCAGAGCATTATCTTAGGTGTTTTGTGGCATTACAACAGAGAAAAGAGGTTTGTTATATATTAGTTTATTTGAGTTGTATTGTGTATTGCATGTGCCAGAGAGATTCTCTACTGCATTCCAAGAGACTGAAAGCTGCAAGTTCCAAGTTTACTCTAGATCAGTGGTGTTCAACCTCTTTTGTTCGTGTACCCCCAAATATAATTTCTCTTCAACTTTGTACTCCCAAAGTTGTTGGTGTATAATTCAAGTTATACATAGTATATAATCTACATCTAAAATAAATTAAATAAATTACATTACTGATTATTCAGTGTTTATCATAAAATAATTTTTTTTTTTAAATTTCACGTACCCCCTAAGATGTCTTCGCGTACCCCAGGTTGAATACCACTGCTCTAGGTAATTTTACTGGCACCAGAATTACATATAAGTTTTAAATTTGGACCAAATTTGTTTCTTGTAGAACTGTTCTGCAAGTTTCTTCCCTTTATAGTTTTTGAAACTAATCTGCTGTCTGGTGTTTATGATCACTGTTCTTGTTTCCCGCAGGAAGACACAATGGCTCTGAAGGATTTCCTAGAAGAAGCAGCCATCATGAAGGAAATGAAACACCCAAACTTAGTACAACTGTTGGGTATGTGTTTTACATACTTGAAAAAATATGTACAGTACACTTAGTGCAGAGTCTATTCCTATGAATAACAACATTCGGTGCAGTGTCGCTTATAATACTTTTTGTCAAATATCCTATTCATTATTTATTTTCTAAATCAAGTTTGAGCCGTTTAATTAAATGAATGGATTTCCCTGATGCCACTGATGATGACCTTTTAAGGTTGAAACGCGTATGGCAATGGTGTCTTCTTTATAGTGTTAATAGTTGTTTGTGTGCTTATTAAATTCAAGTTGACAGTGTTACAGATTTTTTACACTGTATGACTAGGTATTGTCAGCGTTGGTCTTTCGGGTGGTAATGCCATGTGAACATGTAGGTAGATATTAACATTTTGGAGGAACACATTATCCCCATCTTGAGCTCTTGAATAGGAAAGTAAGATTGAAATCTTGGCTGCCATTGTTACTGTTTCATTGTGACAGGTGTGTGCACACGAGAGCCACCATTTTACATAATCACAGAATTCATGAGCAAAGGGAACCTACTGGATTACCTGCGGAATGGGAACAAGGACCAGATCAATGCTGTGGTTCTCATGTACATAGCGACGCAGATTGCCAGCGGCATGAGCTACCTTGAGAGTCGCAGTTTCATCCATAGGTAAAGACAAGCCATGTTCATGATCCTTTGTTTTTGTCATAAATATGGCTTCAGACTGGCTGAACTTGTAAGGAAATTAAAATTATATTGTGCACTCACAATTATCCATCACTGGTACTAGAGACGAAGTGCATATATAAACTCGCTGGGATTTTTCAGAATCTTTGGTTTATTCAGTTATGACATCAAATGAGCAATAGGCAAGAATTAATCTGTTGGTTATCTAGAACTTGTACAGTTATTATTGTGCTTCATTTGTTATTTTTTGCACCAGGGACCTGGCAGCACGGAATTGTTTGGTGGGGGAGAACCACCTAGTGAAAGTGGCAGACTTTGGCCTAGCGCGTCTGATGAGAGATGACACATACACAGCACACGCCGGTGCAAAGTTTCCTATCAAGTGGACTGCTCCTGAGGGTCTTGCCTACAATAAATTCTCTACCAAAGTATGTGACAGTCTGCAGTTAAATTGTATTGATTTTTATGTTTATGTTGAACTATAGAAATACGTAATTCCTCTTTTGATTTACAGGATAAGTTTTTTTAGTAGTGTTGCATTTCTTATAGTGAAGGTTCCAAAAAGATGGAAACTCCGCTGATGACAATATTTTGGCATTGAAAGGATGCTTCATATTTTATATCTGATGGTAAAGCTCTTTTTACCTCTTAAAAATGGGTACTAGGGGTTCTTTTCATAGTAATAAAGCAGCCAGTAGTTATGTATTGCACACATAGCAATTGAGTGGTCAGCATGTCTGCTTTTTGTTCATGACTTCCAATTTTCAAATCTAGGCCTGGAGACTGGCAGTCCTAGATAACGTTATTTATGTTTCTTGTGAAGACACAATCATATATATACATATATCCCCACCAACCACCTTATTTGTAGCTGGTAAGTTCGTCTTAATGTGTTTTGGTTAATAGATCAATGCCATAAACATAGAACTGCTACTAGCCAGTTTGTTCCATACACTGTCAGTAACTTCTCTTTCAGTTTTCTTTTCCAGGTTTTTCTGTAAACATTTTAATTTGTATGCCTGTTTCAGTCTGATGTGTGGGCATTTGGAATTCTGCTTTGGGAAATAGCAACGTATGGAATGTCACCATATCCAGGAGTAGATCTGACAGATGTGTATCATATGCTAGAAAAGGGGTATCGAATGGAATGCCCCCCTGGCTGCCCACCCAAAATATATGAACTGATGCGTCAGTGCTGGCAGTGGAACCCTAATGACAGGCCCACCTTTCAAGAGATACACCATTCACTTGAAAATATGTTTCAGGAGTCCAGCATCACTGAAGGTGAGTCGTGAGTTCCACGCAACTGTGATGCTGCAAAATAAGTTATTATGTAGCTTATGGCAATATAATGTGACAAACAAACACATATCTCATAAATCGTAAAGCATTAATGCTATGATGGAATGGATGCTTTTAAAATGTTACAGTAGTATCTGTGAGCACCAAAAATATTTTGATCAGTTGTCATTGCTAAATAAATAAGATTTGTGTGTTTATATTTTCATATCACTTTGAGAGCTTTTGCCATGAGGCTGCAGCACAACTTGTCTTTGTTGTAATTGAGTCTCAGAACGCTTATCTCTGCTTTTAAGTTGGGCATACGTTTTAAAAAATACTTCTAGACACACAACAGAGATATTATTTTGAAGCAACAAGTTGTTCAAATGTCATGGTTTATTTAATGTAGGGAATGATGATTGTTCACATGTATTTTGCTCTAAGTGTTGCTAATAAATAAAAATCATATGGATTAAATCTGATGATCATGAAGGACACAGTTCTTGACTCAACACTTGTTTGCTAAATATTTTAGCTAATACTATCATACTATGTAGGGCAGTCAAAAAGTTCCCGGAGTTGTGGTATAGCGCTGTAATGGTAGGACATATGGCAACGCTTACCTAATCACCTTCAAAGTAGGACCCTTGCGCGCACACACCCTTGCTCCATCGATCCTGCCATTGTTGGAAGCACCGGCGGAAGGCTTCGTTCGGAATCTTCTGGAGTTCGGCCGTCGCATTCGATTAGATGTGCTCCATGGTTGCGAAACGCGTCCCGTTGAGGCCCATTTTCGGAGTAGGGAACAGCCAGAAGTCACTCGGAGCGAGATCCGGAGAGTATGGTGGTTGGGTGATGACGGGAATGCTTTTCTCGGCGAGGAATTGCTGCACAACCAGCGATGTGTC